TGCCCGGGCACCGGGCCAGCGCCTGTTCTGCCTGGACGCCCTTGCTTGTCCGTCTGTCCTTCTCCCTCCGATGCTCTTTCCCTCCCAGTGTCTCTCTCTGATCCCTTCTCCCTGTCTCTTGTCTTCTGAATCGAATTGTCTCTTCCTACCTGCTTGTCTGTCCCTGTCTCTCTCTTCTCTGAACCTCTCCATCTTTCTCTTGCTGGGAGTTTCGACCCCTCTCTCGCTCTCCGTCCATCTGTTTGGCTCCATCTCCTGTTTCTCTCCTGCTCTCTCCACCTGTTTCCTTCCCTCTCTTTCTTTCTCCACCTCTGTTCCCCGGCCTCTCCCTTCCTCCCTCTCTCTGTGTTTGTCACCGTCTGCCCGTCCCTGCCGCGCTCTCAGGCACCGAGAGCCGCTGCCCACTCTTTTGCAAAATCCGCTTCACTGTTCCTCGGTGACCAATTTTCTTTCCTACGGTTAGAAAGTAGCTCAGGCCTTAACCCATTTCCTCTGGCGTATCCAAATTAATTAGGTGAGACCAGGCTCGCACATTTCAGAATTAGAATAATATTTATCGCGCACCCTGGAGAGAAGGGGCTGGAAGACACGGAGAGGAACCGGAGCAAGGAGGTCGGTTAGCAAGCTGAGGAGAGCGGTGGGGGCTGGCAGAGGGGCTGGCGCCTGAGCCAGGCACGGGGTCTGGGGTCGGGGGTCACCTTCCCAGGTGCCAGAGGGCGCAGGGAATGGAGAGGTCTTGGAGCATGTTCAGGAGGGGGTGGGGGACCAGGGCCGTTCCCCTGGCCACCATGCTCCTCCCTGGGACAGCGCATGGTGGGCCCCCACCCCTCACCTCCAGGTAGCCCATGGGGCAGCCCTCTCTCTGGAGAAACACCTTTTCTTGCACATCAATCCCCCTGCTTGGTGACTGTGCTGCCCACCCAGCCCAGCCCACGGGCATTGAAGCCCTCCCCCAGAAGAGGATGCATCGTAGGGTGCAGGCCTTTCTTCTTTCCTCAGGTGCCCTAGAGACGGGGAGATAGCCTTGCTGGAACCTTCCATTCGAACCCACTCTCCAGCAGCAAGGCAGACCTGTGCACATGCGGGATGCCCTGAGCCCGAGGGTCTTCAGGAAGGTGGCCGTCCAGCCGGGCCTCGGACAGTGCCGGTGTCCTGCAGGGCTTCTCGGGAGATGGGCACTGAGAGTCTCCTCAGCCTGGGGTAGGGAAGCTCGGTTTGAAAAATTCTTTTCTGCTAGATCTTCCTTGGCCAGTCTACTCTGGAACTGCCGTTTAAACTGTTAAGTGGACCAAGATTTGCTGGGCAGAATGCCTCTCAGGGCTGCGGCAGGGACCACCGTCATCCCTTTCTCTGCTTATGCAATGTCCAGGTACTGTGCCAAGTCCTGAGGACGCAGTGATGACCCAAACAGACAAGGTCCCGCTCCTTGGGACACTCAGTGTCTCCAGACCCACCGGTCCCTGCAGCCCAGCCCAGGGCTCAGCAGGTCTCTGTGGAACCACACTGCATGGAGGGTTGAACACCTACTTCATCGAGTGCTGTGTGGACGTGCATCAGGCTTTCTCACCCTCGCCTCTGTTGACGTCTTGGGTTTGAAGATTCTTTGGTGTGGGGACTGTTCTGGGAGTTACAGGATGTGGAGCAGCACCCCTGGCCTCTACCCACTAGGTGCCAGTAGCACCGCCCTTCTCGGTTGTGACAACCTATCAAAAACGTCTTCCAAGGGGGACAGAATCACTCTGGTTGAGAACTGGCGACATAAATTTATTTAGTCTTGGCTTACCAAAGGCAAATGGTTTAAGCACATGGCTCCATGCTCTTTCATAGACACCAGAGAAGCAAGAGTCTTTGTAAGAACTTGGGAGGCAAGAAAAAGAAAGAAAAATAATAGAAATTTTTGTTTTTTGGTAATAGCTTTATTGAGATGTAATTTATCTACCACAAGATTAATACTTTAAAGTGCATGATTCAATGATTTTTGTATATTCACAGAGATGTGCAACTATCACTGATATCTAATTTTAGAACATTTTCATCCTCCCCAAAAGAAACCCCACATCCTTAGCAGTCACTCTCCCCATCTGCCCCTCCCTTTACCTAACCGGCATTGTATACAAATGTGGTCTTTTGTGTCTAGTTTCTTTCACTTAGCGTGATGTTTTCAAGGTCCATCCGTGTCATAGCATGTGTCAGTATGTCTTTCCTTTTTATGGCTGAATAAGAGACACATGTTTTCATTTCTCTTGGGAGTACCTAGGAGTAGAATTGCTGGATCATATATTAACTCTGTGGTTAACATTTTAAGAAGCTGCTGAACTGCTTATCAAAGGGGCTGTACTATCTTACATTCCTGTCAGCAGTGTGCAAAGGCTCCATGTTCCTCCATCCTTGCCAACACTTGGTAGTATGGGGCTTTTCGGTTATAGCTATCCTAGTGTGTACGGAGGGATGTCTCAGTGTGATTTTGGTTTGCATTTTCCTAATGACTGATGCTGCTGACCTACTTGTCATGTATACCTTCTTTGCAGAATTGCCTATTCTAAATCCTTTGCCCATTTTAAAATTGAGCTGTTAGTTTTGTCATTCTTACTGTTGAGTTATAAGATTTATTTACATTTTGTGGATACGAGTCTCTTATCAGATATGTATGTTGCAATATTTTGTCCCATTCCATGGGTTATCTTTAGTTTTCTCAGTGTTGTTCTCTGATGCACATTTTTAGTTTATCTGTTTGTGTTGTTGTTGTTTGTGCTCTCAGTGTCGTATCATATCCTAGAAACCATTGTCAAATCTGAGGTCACAAAGATTTACTCTTATATTTTCTTCTATGTTTTATAGTTTTAGGACTAATATTTAGGTATACAATCCGTTTCGAGTTAATCTGTTGTATGGTGTGAGGTAAGGATCCAACTTCGTTCTCTTGCATGTAGATATCCAGTTGTCCCAGGACCATTTGTGGAAGAAACTATTCCTTCTCCCTTGAGTGATCTTGGCACCCTTATTGAAAATTAATTCAACGTAGGTCTCTGAGTTTATAACTTACAACTCACTGTTTTCTTGGCATAGAAAGACGGTAGGAAAGTGTCTTTGATGATCACAAGAGAAGCAATTGGGGTAACTTTCACGGATGCCTCATTCAACATACATAAAGTTATCAAATTTTAGCATTAAAAGGGATCTCAGAGGTCATGTGAGTTTAAACCTTTTGTTTTGTTGATGGGGAAAATTTTGTTTTCTTTATCATTTTATTAACATTTGTTTGCTGTCCATACTTTTCCGTTTTCTTTGCCAGTCAATTGGGAAGTCTTCACACATGTGAGAACTTCTTATCTGATGAGAGGGTTGATGGGGAAAAAATTAAATTTCAGTCTTAGTGGTTAACAAATCTGTCCAGAGGTTCCCGGCTAATCAGTGGAAGAGCTGGGATCGAAACTCAAATCTCTTGACTTTCTGGGGCAGCAGTTTTTTTTTTTTTTGCTCCCAGTTCCTGAGTGTCAGCTCTCCGGACCCGGATCCCAGGTCTGCCTGGATTTCCTTTACCAAACCTGTGCATTTCTGCCTTCTCCCTGACTACTTGTTCCACGGACATGAGCAGGGGTAGCGGCGCGTGTGTCTGCTCCTTCCTTTACAGGCTGAGAGAAAGGAAAGGCAGTGAAGGGGAAGCATTTGGAAAATCTGAAATTGCAGTATAAATGCCACTAAATGATAAGATTGCCAGCTTGATGCTCTTTTCCTAGCAAGGTTCAGCGTGTCAGAGGCGGCATAATGGAAGGAGACAGTTTGCTCTCAGACATGTTTTTAAACTGCCGTGGTTGTCACTTTCCAAGGAGCAGAGTCTCACAGCTGGACTCCGGTGCAAAGCAAGCTTTGGGATGAGCTGGGCATGGCCGGATTTCAGGTGGGCATGACCTCACTCCTCAGAGATATCCAGGGGAGATGGAAGAGTCCTTAACGGGCTTGTGCAAAACAGGGGTGCACTGAGAACTGGGGACTTGGCCCTGAAAGGACGATGTCCAGATGTGGTTTCTTGTGGCTTGTCCACACTCACCTGTGCATCCTTAGAAGATGCCTACGGGTTTCACTTTGCATTGTCAGTGGGTGTCACATGTCACACCCACAGAGGGGGTCCCATTTGAAACCAGATGGGGGAGTGATTCCCCTCAAATCGTGAGCCCCTAGATGGTAGGAATTGGGTCCTATTTGTCTCTGTCTCTGCAGTGACTGATGCTTGCTGAGTCCTCAGCAAATGCCTGTTTGGTTGTCGAAGCTAGGTATTGTGTAATAAAATCCACTCTCTCTGGGTAACTGGGCCTCCGGCGGGGGGTGCTGACTTTCTCCAACTATGGCAAGGTCTCTGCCTGCCTCTCTTTCTCCCTGCATTTGCAACTGTTCCTTCCTCTAAACTCCAGTTGCCTTCACTGTCTGCACCATCCATGTGTTGATGTTTATCTTTTTATCTGTACGTCCTGTCTTTGCAGTTAAATCACACCTTTCCCTGATGGCAGGGGCTGCGTGTTGTTCTTATCTGCGTCTCCAGTATCTAGTGCAGGCTACCCCGTGTGTGTTTTGGGATGGGAAGGTGGCCCCCTGATATTAGTAACCTGCTACTGAATTTGAGGCCAGCAGTGTCAGGCCTCACTGGAATGACATTCCACCGGCCGGCTGCTATGGATATGTGCTTGGTGTCGGTAGGCATTTGGGGAGCCAGGGTTTTGAGAGGGCTCAGGGTTCGCTGATGTGAAATGAATTACAAAAAGAAACTATAGTTGCAGCCTTTTAGTGTCTGTCCCCCCACCCCCAGGCATGATAACTTCTGCCCTGTGTCCCCCCACCGAGACCAGCCCCAGATGAAGCTGCGACTATTTGGAACTGAACGCTGTCTGTCTCTGTCTCTTCCCATATGTCCATAAATCAAAGGGCCCATGAAAGTAATCGAGCTCCCTTTGTGGTTGTGTTCACCTGCTCGGTAAATCTCACTGTGTAATCTCCTCCTTGTTTAGGGCTCTGGCTGACATCTTAAGACAACAGGGACCAATCCCCATAGCACACTGTGAAAGAGAAACTATCTCGGCTATCGATACCTCTCCCAAAGAGAACACGCCGGTCAGATCGTCCTCCAAAAACCACTACACCCCCGTGCGTACGGCCAAGCAGACTCCAGGTAAGTCAGAGCTCAGTACCTTGAAGCTTCGCTGAGGCTGGTGGGATGTTTTTCTGCTCCAGTGGGGCAGGTCATGGACCGTGGCACGGTGGTGAGGGACTCCTTGATGGACAGGCAGGCTTGTGGAAGAGTTTGGGGACTGTGTCCCTGGGGAGAGTGTGGAACTAGAGAGACTGCTGCCAGTCAGTGTCTGGGTTGGACCAGGGCTGACAGTTTCAAGCATCTGTGATTTAGTGAGTGACTGGTATAATTTTCTTCCCAGAAGGGGAGCTTGCAGCAGCATGGCGGGGTACGCTCACCCCTTCTCCCATGTAGTGGGAAGGTTTAAGCTGCCTGCAATGCTAGATATGTTACCAGAAAGTACTGCACTCAGAGGTAGAGCCTGCTCGACCATTGGGATTTCAAAGAGCACTTCCTGGGGGTGGGAATGAAGCTCGGATTTTCAGGTGACCCTTTTCTGTGCTCTGTAGAGTTCCCTGGATGTGTGATGAGTTGCCATTTAATAATGATGTGCCATCCGCTTCTTCACTTGATCATCTCGGTAACGCTGTGAAAGAAACAGCAGGGCTCGTTGTCCTTGTCTTGCGGATTAATGAATGAAGCTCGAGGAAATTTAGTAACTTGAACAAGGTCACCGAGCTGTTAATAATAATAAAAACATCAGTAATAACAGCAATATAACCTAAATATTTATTGGGATCCTGTTCCGTGCCAAGAGTTAACGCCGAGCATTTTACATGAATTTTCTTATTTATTCTTCACTGCAGTCTTAGAAGTGCCTATATTATCCCCATTTTATATGAGGAATAGGAAAGTTCAATGGCTTCCCCAAGGTCACAGAAGAAGGGAGAAAACCAGGATTCAAACCAGGGCAAATAGTTAACAGCAGTCAGGGCTAGAAAACCCACCTGAGGACGTGAATCCCAAATATCTGAGCACACAGTCCTCACAAGCACAGCTCGGGAAGTCATGTCTCAAGGTGAGCAGTGCACGCAGCCTAGCACCGGTCCCAGCCCCAGACACAGCTTCCGCTCTGATGCTTGGATCTGAAATCTTCACATCTGTCACCTCTACAGTTTTTTTGGGGGATGGGCTATATCTGTGGTCCCCAACCCCTGGGGCAAAGACTGGTACCTCAGCCTTGTTAGGGACTGGGCCACAGAGCTCCTCGGCCCTCCACCCCTCCCCCATCTGTGGAAACATTGTCTTCCATGAAACTAGTCCCTGGTGCCAAAAAGGTTGGGGACCGCTGAGCTACATGATCTGAACTAAACCTGCAATAAGGATATACAACCTCTCGCTGGCGGTAGGTGTACCTCACATCCCGAACGGTAGCAAAGGTACTGCTGAGATCCAATGTAGTCTCCATTCACTCTTTAATTTTCTTAAACGTATTGAGTCAGAAAACACATATTTGCTTTTAAGATAGTAGTCATAAATCTTTTGAGAATCTAACGGAAGCTGAGGGCATTCTCCCCGGAAATATACATACATATGCATTTAAATACACACATGCCTCCGACAGTTTGTGTAGGGTTTAGGGCATTCATAGACTCCTCCAAGGTTAGAAATCCCCCATGCAAAGGTAAAGATGAGGGCTGTCTGCCTTTGCAAAAAGTCTAAGATGCATCTCCAGCCTTCATACCACGGAGCCTTACAGCGTAAGCACTAGGAGGAGTCTTGGCAGGAACTGGCACAGTGGTCACCTGTCTGACTGCACTGTAGAACACCTGGGGAGCTCTTAAAAATGCTGACACCTGGGCTCCACAGAGTAACTGGAATTCCTAGGGATTGTGCCCGCGTCACTGAGTGTTTTTAACAACCTCCCCAAGATGATTCCAACACGCAGCCAGAGTGAAGAATCACGGGCTAGAAGGATTCCTTCATTTTGGGAGTAAAGACCCTGGAAGCCTGTGCGGGTGGTTCTCCAACTTGGCTGCACGTGGGAATCATATTGGGGAGTTTTAAACATTAAAGCTCCCTGGGAAACCCCCTCCGAGATTTCATTGGTGTGGGGTGTGGCCTGAGAATGGGGTGAGCCTCTTGGGTGATTGCAATGTGCAGTGACGTTGGAGAGTCACGGGGCTGTGGAAATGGCATAAAGCCGCCGTTGTTGTAACTGACCGCTATTCTCGCTGGTCACTTTCAATCTAACCTTGGTGTCACAGCCAGCTGTGAGTAGGGCGTTCCGGTTTTCCCCAAGATGCGCGTCATTTGAAGTCAGTCTCCTCCAGAGCCTTGTTGTGACTCTGAAACTTCAGGTCCCTCTGGCAGGAAAAGCACCTCTGGTCGTTTGTCCTCACCCCTCCGAGTTTTCTCTGTCTCATCACATGCGAGCTAATTCCCCGCCACTGAGTCCAGACCCAGTGCACTGATTAGGTGGACAGCCTTGATTCGCCCTTAAACACGCTCCACTGAGCAGGAAGATTTGTCATTTCTTCTGGTTTCTGTATGCATCGTTTCTTCTAGCCAACTAGGAAAGCGAGCTGACGGTTATATGATTCACTTCTGCGTTTCAGGAAATCCCCCCCACCCCCACCCCCGTCTATTCTCAAATTGGAACTCTCCACTTTGTGTTTAGAGATGGGAATTGTCTCCTGGCCCCAGAAAGCATTTTCAGTGGTGACATGTAAATTTAAAAGCAATTTCATCACAAGCCGCAACTTCTGCAGTTTATAATGGACACGGTGCCTTTTCCAAATAGCTGATACCCTTTGCCACAAAATATTGCAATTTGAGCAGTTCTGTTTAAACTTAAACAGAACTTTGGGTGAGTGTTCACAGTGGGAATTTACTGTGTTTGTGCCTCTCATCAAATCAACAAAGCACGGATTGCGGGAGTAAGGTGGCAAGAGTTGTTAGGGGGATATTAAGGAAGACATCTAGACGTGCCAACCGGGAGGCGTCAGAGTGTGTGGGTAGCTTTGCTACTGGAAATGCCGTTGGTGGCCGGCTGCATCAGCGCCCCCTGACAGCTCTCGAGCAATGCAGACCCTCGGGCTCCACCTCCCCCACTGCAAGAGAACTGCATTCTAGTGACATCAATCAGCAGTTAAAGTTTGGGAAACAGCTGGGAGAGTGTGGTCCCTGAACAATATCCTCTTCAGTTTGTTCTTTGGCCCTGTCTCTTTCTTTCTTTTTTTTTTTTAAATTTTTTTATTTTAGCATATTATGGCTGTACAAGTGTTTTAAGGTTACTTAGATTGCCCATGCCCCCCCTTTAAAACACCTCTAGGCCACAGGTACTATTAGCTTCAAGGGCAGGCGAAGGAACTCAGAAATGCAAAGAAACTTTGCCTTGTATATACCCTGTCTCTTTCTATGCGTGTGATCTGGGGCAAGTTTCTTTGCATTTCTGAGTTTCTTCGTCTGCCCTTGAAGCTAATAGTACCTGTGGCCTAGAGGTGTTTTAAAGGTATATTGAGTTAAACCAAGTAAAGCACGTAAAACAGGTCCCCATCCGTAGCAAATGCTATTACCCGTGGCCAGGCTGTGGAAGTACATCCACAACTCCTGGGAAATGAATTAAATGAGTGAGGGAACCGAAGGCAATGCACTGGTGTCCTCAGCCGGGCAGCATGCGTGGTTGTGTCTGGAATGCAGGGTCCTGGTCCCGCCCGCCCCTGCCTGTGCGTGGCTCCTGCTCCAGCCACATCCTGGGGCGGGGTTGGGGGGGGGGAATGTGGGTCGTGGGGCTCAATTAAGTTTTTGGGCATTGAAAACACATGCTTGTTTGGTTTAGGAAGTGGATAAGGTGCAGCGGTAATAATAATAAAAGCAGTGATAACACAGTACCATAAGCTGAGCATTTACTGTATGCTGAGCACTCTGCTAGGCACTTTTATGTATAACAGAGAATGGATCCTACAATATTTCTTAGATGTGGAAGCTCCTAATCGCACATAACAGAAAAGTCCTCTTCCTTCCTGTAAGAGCCTTTTACCCTAACCCTTCCTGCAAGCTCCTTTCTAACTTAAAGAGGGAGCTTTAAAATGGACACTTAGTTTGAAGATTGAAAACCAGTGGCGCCTGCTTCATCCCCCACCCCTCAAATCTGGCTGCTGTAGGTAGACCCTTTGCTGTTCCAGGCCTGGTCCACGGATCGGCAGCGACTGTATCCCACGGGAGCTTGTTAGACATGCAGGATCCTGGGCCCTTCCCCAGACCTGCTAAGTCAGAAGCTGCACTTAGATAGATAGATCTTTAGAGGATTTCCACACACACATTAAAGTTGAAGAAGACCCCACTAGCACAGCGACTCTCAGCCCCAGCCACAGGTTGGAATCGTGTGGAGAATTCTGAAAACACTAATGCTGGGCCCCCCCACCCCAGAGATGCGGATTTCATTGCTCTGTAGCAGCACCTGCACGTTGATATTTTAAAAACACACAAACAAAATGAAAAACTCCCCACATAGTTCGCATGTCTGACAAACATTGAGGACTGGGCTCTGGAGGGAAAATGAGGGAAACATCCTTTGAAGGCCATAGAGTGTGGGTTCACATCAAGACCCGAGAGATCAAGCCTGGCCGGTCCCAGGTCCCGGGCTGCAGTGCTACGTCCCCTCTGTGGCAGGTGGGGCCGGAGGGAGTGAAGGCCTCAGGCTCGTCCGAGAGAGGGAGGACGGCGTCAGTGTGCAGCTACGAATGGAGACTCCCGGGCAGAAGCAGGCACCAGTAGAAACACCAGAATTGTTTAGGGGACGAAATGGAACCTTCAGGAGAGGCACCACCCACTGTAGCATTGCAGGGCCCCGCCCCCACCCCAGCTCAGCATCCCAGCGGCCGGCTGTGGGCTTGGTCTTCATGCAGGCGGAGGAGGGGAGACCCAGCTTATTTGCCCGGCCTCATCCACACCTAAAGAGCCTGTCTCGGGGCACCTAGGGGAGAGTGGGGTGCCCATCCCTAGCAGTAGCAATGAGGTCATGTGTGAGGGTGGTAGCATTTTGGGTATCTAACTTCACATTATCCAGAGTGGCGTCAGCAGATATTCATGCTCCA